CCAAGCAATTGTAGGTTGTATGATTGCTCTGGTTAATTGTATGAACAGGTGTATTCGTTGTGTCACTCAAAGCTTTTAAGCAAGAGTGTGTCTCACTTGATCAAAGTTGTGAAGCAAGATCATGGTGTGTGTTTGGAGTGTATCTCCATAACTGTTATGTAATTGTGTATCACTGTGTTGTGATTGAGAGGGAGTGAGTAGGTATACTCAGGTCTAGAGTGTCTCTAGGTTGAAGTGTCATTGGATAGAGATTAAGTGAGAAGCGCAAACTGGTTGTTTGACTTTGAATTGATTCTGCTAATAGTGCATTTCCTCCCTGGCTTGGTAGCCCCTAGATGTAGGTGATGTTGCACCGAACTGGGTAAACAATTACTGGTGTTATTTATCTTTCTGCATTTACAATTATGCACAATTTAAATGGTTAGATAAATAGGTCTGTCAGCCTACAGACGTCACAACAGAGGTCATGACGTTGGTCATGACATTGGTACAATTTAAAGAAATTTAAATTGTTCATGATCTATCCTCGTCTTTGTTTCAGCAGAGATCAATGTTCTTGGGACATATGAGATCTACATACCAGAATTTCAAATATTGTTTAGGATCACCGAAAGCTAAGCGCATAATTGATATTTCAAGACATTTTTCTACTTGTTAACAAGGATCCTTCAGTCAAGGTGAGTATAATAATCTCTTATATCGTAGCGCGGTATAATTATACTCTATCGTACAAGAAGGTGTGGATTGCAAAGACAAAGGTTGTTGAACAAGTATTTGGCAACTGGGAGGATTCATACAAAGAATTATCACAATTTTTGATAGCGCTAAAGACATACACGCCGATAACTATTGCAATCATACAAACAATGCCTGCATGTAGGCCAGATGGAACTATTGTTGATAGAAATGTCATCTTTCACCGTCTTTTTTTGTCGTTTCAACCATGCATAAGAGGTTTTGCATTCTACAAACCTGTTATTCAAATTGATGGAACATGACTCTACGGAAAATACAAGGGCACCTTGCTTATGGTTGTTGCACAAGACGATAACAATAATGTCTTTCCCATAGCCTTTGCTCTGGTTAAGAGTGAGACTGCTTCTGCTTGGAGTTTATTCCTTAAGAATCTCAGAACACATGTCGCTCCACAAGTCAATCTCTGTTCGATTTCAGAAAGGCATGTTGCTATAGAGAGTTCCTACAATAACCATGATAACGGGTGGGATAATCCTCCTTCTATCCATGTAGATTGCATTAGACATATTTCACAAAACTTCATGCGTGCAATCAAATACAAGAACCTTCAGAAAAAAGTTGTGAATGTTGGGTATGCTCTAACTCAATCAACATTTTAATACTATCTTAACGAAATTAGGATGTCAAATGTAGATGCAAGAAGCTGGTTAGATAACATTCCACTCGAAAAGTGGACAAGGGCTTTCGATGGTGGATGTCGTTGGGTCACATGACGACAAACCTTGTGGAACCCATGAACGAGGTATTCAAAGGAATTAGAAACCTTCCAATCACCGCTTTGGTGAGATCAACATATTATAGGTTGGCATCACTTTTCACAACAAGAGGCGAGAGATGGCGTGCAGTGTTAACATCTGGTCAAGTATTCAATGAAAGCATTATGAAATTGATGAAAGAGGATACTATCAAAGCCAGCACAGATGCAGTTACAGTCTTCGACCGTCATAGGAAAATATTCAGTGTACAAGAAACAATGGACCATAATGAGGGGAGGCCCAATTTATCCTATGTCGTAAGACTAAACATATGTTAGTGTGATTGTGGAAAGTATCAGGCCTTCCATGTACCTTGCTCACATGTCATTGCGGCATGTGCACATGCTCGTCAGGATGCTTGTGGCTATCTATCTGATGTTTACAAGGCAATTAATGTTATGAACGTATACAACGAAGGTTTCACAGTGATACCAATGGAGGATTATTGGTCTTCATACCAGGGTGACATAGTTTGGTACAATGATGACATGAGAAGAAAGAAAAAGGGACGCCCAAACAGCAAGCGTATAAGAACCGAAATGGATACGACTGATAAAATGATAAGATTATGTAGTATATGTCGTCAGCCCGGATACAACCGTAAAAAATTTCCTAATGTCGGAGTCACATCTGCTTCATGAGTTAGCTTATCGTTTAATTTATTGTAACCAAATATTTTCATATATTTATGAGTCTTTGTTACAACGGTCTTAACAACAAACAAGACTAACAACACACAACACATACTAATTTCATTAAACATAAAGCATTAATTAGGTGATTACAACATTCCTAACTGATTACAACAATCAAACTAATTTCATTTGATCCAAACATGACTTTTCTCGCATCTTTGTCAGTCTTAACACGAACTCATCCATGTAGCTGATCAAGTCTCTCGATACTACGTATTTTTTAATTTGGTAAAAAATTCCAAATACAGTGGATAAATATTTAAATTTATTTTTAAGTGTGGGTTAAACTTATTAAAAGTACACATAATATAAGATCTCATAATTTTTTTTCCTTTTGTATTTATTGAAACCCTAATGAAGCTCACTTTACATGTGCTTGCCCTGTAACTATGAATCTTCCCTAGGGCACCTTCTTGTCTCTCCTCACTCTTTCTTGTGTTCATAATTTCAATAATTATTTCCAGCAAAAAAGTGTTAAAAAACATGTTATTGAAATGAACACAATAGGAGCAAAAGTTAACATATTTTTGCTTAGGGGACCATACAAAAAGATTAATCATCAAATTCTATTTAACTTAAAGATTAATCATCAAATTTAATGCGTCTCCCCCACAAAGCCACATTTTGCTTAGGGGACCATACATAAAGATTCCATTGAATATATAAAAAGGTATTTTCTTCAATTTTTTAAATCGTATTTTTAACAATATAAGAATTGTTGAATTTGATGACCAATTTTATTTAACAATCTTGCATGTTCTATACATTACTTTGGCTGAATTAGAATTCAAGACCATTTTTTATTAAGAAAGAAGAGTTTTTTTACCATTAGTTGAATAGGTTTTGATCAATGTTTTAAAAATTGAATTGAATAATTTGATTTAATTAGTTAGACCGAAAAATCGATAGTGAATTTAGTTTAATTAGTTTTGTAAAATTGCATGTGGGTTAAAATCAAAAAAATAAGATCGAATTGTTTAAATTAAAAAATCAGAGTCGATTTTATAAAACCGCTTAGATCAAATAAATGTTTGGCATCGACTAATTTTAATATTTTTTATATAAAAAGAACAAGTGAAAATTTAATATTATAACAAAAGAATTGAAAATTAAAAAAGAAAATTAACATTTCTCCTTAAAGAAAACTTATTTTTTTAAGAGTTCATTATATTATAGTTGTTTCTTTCAACCACATTTAATATGCATCCTTTTTAAATAGAGCTGAGAATTAATCGAATTCACTCGAAAATAGTTTAGAATTCGGTTCGACAAATAAATTGTTGAATTTATGAGTTAAATAAGCTGGATATGAACGAAAAACTAAGTTCGTTAAATAAATGAGATGAACTTGAACTATACATAGTTCAACTCATTAAATTCATGAGTCAACTCGATTATAGATGAGAAGGATTATATTATCTTTAAGAGTAGATTTAAAGATTTATTCCAAATCTTAATCCTATATTTTCTTTTAATATAACGGTAGAAAATATACAGTAGTATCTCATAAAACAGTAAATGTTCTTGTCATTCTAATATCTACTGTGGTTTCTAAGTCAACTTTTAGCATCAGAGAGAGTTATTGATTCATTTTGAAAGTTGAGTAATTTTTGAATTAGGAGATGTTTGAGATAAAGATAAATTCCAAACGATAAAAAATTTATTTTATTTTAATTTTTTTAAAAAAAATATTAATTTAAAATGTCTATATATATATATATATATATATATATATATATATATATATATATATATATATATATATATATATATATATATATATATATATATATATATATATATATATATATATATATATATATATATATATATATATATATATATATATATATATATATATATATATATATATATATATATATATATATATATATATATATATATATATATATATATATATATATATATATATATATATATATATATATATATATATATATATATATATATATATATATATATATATATATATATATATATATATATATATATATATATATATATATATATATATATATATATATATATATATATATATATATATATATATATATATATATATATATATATTTATATATATATATTTAAATCCGTAAATCAATTGAGTTGAATCTAATAAGATAAATTTAAAACCCAATTGTTTATAAACTTATAACGATTTAAATTTAAGTTTTTAAAAAATTCGTATTGAATTTGAGTCAAAATTTGAATTCAACTTATTCTTATCTGTTGAATCTTTCGTTCTATTCTTTTTACACATCTTCCATTCAATTTTTAAAACATTAATATAGATTAATATTAAGTCTTTACAACTAACTTTCATATGTTTCTTTTTATCTTGTTATATAGCACTAGAATTCAAAAGTAACAAACTTTTAGACTCACAAGTGCGAAATTGTGGCTAGTCAAAATAACAAAGAGTGGAATTGTGGAAATACACACACACATGAATAGTACTTTAATAATACAATCCACTCTCACATGGCCTTAACATGATTGGTGGCCAAGAACAAACTCTCTTAATGTTCAAATTGGTCCATATCCTTATCATATCAATGTTGGAGGACTAAACCAATCTTACCCCTTCTTGGTTTCCTAACTTCAAAAGAATTACTATAAAACAAAATCACTTTTCAATTATTTTCTATTTTTCTACAAAATATGATAGTTACATAAAAACAGCTAGCTACTTTTGGATTTATATATCCACACTTCAACTTCTCACCCTCATATATACCTTCATTTCCCTTGTGAATCTCCACACAAAAACACAATGAGTAAACCAATTACTACTTGTCTTCTTTTATCCTTTCTCATTATTCTCTCACACTTTGTGATTGAAATCCATGGAAAAAATAAACAAGTTGAAGCTCTTGACAATCTCCACAAAGCAAAATACATAGAAAACTCAGAAATTGATAAGAGTGAATTTGAGGTACAAGAGATTGTGTATGACATTGATGCCATTGTTGATTCTCAAAAGGGTCTCAAAGAGAAAGATAGGATCAAGAAACTTCCAGGTCAACCCTTTGTGAAATTCTCTCAATTTGGAGGGTATGTTACATTGGATAAATTGAGTGGTAGTGCTTTTTACTATTACTTTGTTGAAGCTCATCAATCTAAAGAAACACTTCCACTTCTTCTTTGGCTCAATGGAGGTAAAAAAAAATATATTATTATTATTATTTATTTATATGCATATTGTAGGTTGTTGAAGTATCATAAAAAAAAAATTAAGGTGGAAACTCTTTATTTAATTTGAAAGACTTTATGTGTGACTATAACCACTGGCATGCACATGTAAAATGTCTCTTTGTCTTTTTTATCACATTTTAGGTGAAACATCATTTACATCTGAATCAATATGTTACATTAAAAAAATCATAAAGAACATGGCCAACAAAACTTGTTAAATTAAATACATCTTTCTTTGTCAACACATCATTGAGTTTTCTAATTTAAGTTACAATTAAATATGTTTATATTAATTAGATTATGATATAACTTTGAATTTAGGTCCTGGATGTTCATCTCTAGCTTATGGAGCAATGCAAGAATTGGGACCTTTTAGAGTAAACAGTGATGGCAAAACACTTCACCAAAATAGATACTCATGGAATTATGGTAAATATTTCTAAATATGAAATTATAATTATTTATTTTTTATTATATATATAATAACAAAAATAGATGAATTTAATTAAATATGTAACTAACTAATGACTGAATTTGGATTTTGAAGCTGCAAATGTTTTGTTCTTGGAGTCTCCAGTTGGAGTAGGATTTTCTTACTCAAACAAATCAACAGAATATAGTAGCAATGGAGACAAGAAAACAGCTATAGATAACTATTTATTTTTGGTAAATTGGTTGGAAAGATTTCCAGAATATAAAAATAGAGATTTTTATATTTCTGGAGAAAGCTATGCTGGTCATTATGTTCCTCAACTTGCACATACCATTCTCTATCATAATAAAAAGGCAAATAAGACAATCATCAACCTCAAAGGAATCTTGGTATGTTACTTTCTCCTTCTTAATTATGGCTCGTGATTGGCTTATTAACTTCTTAATTAATGTATTTGATCTATATTTTGTTCCGACAGATTGCTTATTCAATAAATCTAAAAAATAATTTTTTTTCTCATAAACTAAGGGGATATTCGAAAAATTGGACAAAGTAGTAGTTATGATAAGTGGTCCCTTTGGGCTTTTCCTTGTTTTAGCTAAGGGACATTCTATTTTGTTATGGAAATCTATTTGGACTATAGAAAGGTTTTTAGTCCTTTGTGGACCATAACTATTCCATTATTTATTTGGTCCACCTAAAGCACTATACATTGCATTATTATCATCATCATCATGAAAAATGATAGCATTTGTTGATAATATGTCTTTTTCAGTGTATTATTTAGATAATTTTAAGTTTTATTAGGTGAATTTTTTTTGTAATGTTGTGCAGATAGGGAATGCAGTGATCCATGATACTACAGACTCAACAGGAATGTATGATTTTCTTGCTACTCATGCTATCATCTCAGACAAAGCAGCTTATGATGTCAACAATGTTTGTGATTTTTCATCAGATAATCTCACTGCTGAATGCAATTCAGTTGCTGATGAAGTCAATGAAGATATTGCATTCATTGATTTGTATAACATTTATGCTCCAGTTTGCAAGAATGAGAATCTCACTTCCAAGCCCAAAAAGAACACCGTAAGCTTCAAATTTCAATGTTGTTTATGTTTTTAATCCTAATAAATAGAGAGTTAATGTGCCTTAATGTTTATTTGTTTTTTTTAGATTGTGACTGATCCGTGCAGTGAGAATTATGTGTATGCTTATCTTAATAGACAAGATGTTCAAGAGGCTATTCATGCTAATGTCACAAAACTCAAGTATGAATGGAGTCCATGCAGTGGTGTCATTAGAAAATGGGTTGATAGCTCTCCAACAGTTCTTCCTCTTTTACATGAATTCCTCAATAATGGCCTTAGAGTTTGGATTTTCAGGTTAAATATTTATTCTTGCTTTATTCTTTCGTTGCTGGATACAAAAATCGACAGTATCGAAGTAATATTGGTTACTTTTTGTTTATATTATACAGCGGTGATACAGACGGAAGGGTTCCGGTTACTTCGACTAAGTATTCGATTAAGAAGATGAACCTTCCTGTTAAAACTGTTTGGCACCCTTGGTTGGCCTATGGAGAAGTTGGTGGCTATACTGAAGTATACAAGGGAGACCTAACATTTGTTACAGTGAGAGAAGCAGGACATCAAGTGCCAAGTTATCAACCAGCAAGAGCTCTTACTTTGATTAAACATTTCTTGGATGGCACTCCTCTTCCTAGTCCAAAAATAAAGGCATAGTCTAATCAAAGCGAATTCAGTTGTAGTTGGATTTCTTAGATCCTAATTATGACCTTTCATTGATCAGACTTGTATAAATAATCATAATTCTTAATGAGATTTCAAATTTGCATTATTCACATGATTTTTTTTTAATGCTTAACATATTAATTATGCCTGGTTTAAATTTTAGAAATCAGTTAGGCAGACCCTTAACTGATTATTTATTCAACTTGTTACAGAGTAGTTCAAATTATTGAAATAAATTAAAGAATGGAAATTCAATTTTGTACATTTGACAAGGTATACTAAAAAAGAAACTGTTAACATAGGCAAAAATTTATAATTACCTAAATTAGTTTATGTACAAGTGACTAATTTTGAAGTTTCATATTTCAAAACAATCTTCTTCATCATCTTCACTATCTATCTCCAATGAGAATTTGGTGGCTGATTTCATTAACTCTGTTAGTCCAGTTACATCTTCTAAGTAGGTAGGATGATTAATTGCTTCAAGTATGAACTCCATTCCTCGGTTTCGATACTCCGATATAACCTGAATGAAGTTTTACAAAATTAAGGGGATTAGGAAAATGATAATCATAAGTTTAACAAATTTAAGTATCTTTGTTGTGACCCTGGAAATTTAAGGCAAGAAACATGTCCTTCAACATATGCACAAAAAGCTTAAGTCCATGATGAAAACTTAGATAAAAGTAAGTTAATATATAAATCATGATAGCTGACGGCAACCGAAGAATCATTACGAGACACTATTCATCATTCATACGTACTGTGTGACAACAGGCTGTGCAGCTGGAGGAGGAGTGACCTATAAGGCTCATTTGAGAAAACTGAGAAAGGGAACCACGAATCTGATGAGGTAAAATGCCAAGAGGGTTCTCAGCACCTCCGGAGACACTGTTGTTAATATCGGCTTCTGCATATATCCTGAAAATGTGTAGTCAGTATCTGAATTTCATGCACAATAAATAAAGCAGGTCAAAGAATCTTTTCAAGATTGTTCCACAGAAAATCAGTGTTGGCAGAATTACCCTTGAGGGTGATGCAAAATCCCTACTAAAAGTTCAACAGCAAGGGCAGAAGCAATAGGAGCTAGCCCCGGTCGGGTCACAGTACATTGCTGGTCCAGAGTTCGGTTGGATGTTGACTGCAGAATGTAAGTATGAATTAGTTAGTTAGGTATGTTACATCTCTTCAAATATCACACCACAATGCTGCATGTAAATTACATCAGTTGGTGCAACAACATCGTTGCAGAAATAGCATCCCAGTCTATGTTTTCCATTTGCATCATATACACACAGATCGGCAGATGAAGAACTAGCTGTTTCAGCACTCGAATCACAGGCGCTACTTAAAGGACCCGCTCCGTGGCGCATAACCAAGAAACTTTCAAACCCCAGCGCTGCAGTCATGGTAATCTACGAATACATAAATATACATGTTAGTCAAGAAGATGCCATCAAAAGTAAACTGTGAAAGGAATAACAGCCGTAATATACGTCTCAGAATTTGGGTTGGGCCTAACTCAACCCTACAAAACCGACTTGTAGGAAACACAACACATACCATATCTCTAAGCAATGTGGGACTAAATTCACCCCTTCAAAGCCAACACAATGGTGTTTGGGGCTGCAATAAAGGCAAGCCAAAGTGCCGCAATTAAGGCGACTAGGGGCGGACCGCATTTAAGGCGGAAAGTTCAACACACCCCCTCACGCTTGGGCCTCAATGAGCCCAAAGCGTGGACCATGCGGGAAGCCCAACAATAGATCTAGGATAGGCTCTGATACCATCTCAGAATTTGAGTTGGGCCTAACTCAACCCTACAAAATCGGCTTGTAAGGTGAGGATGCCGCCACTTATAAACACAACAGAGGCCATATCTCTAAGCAATGTGGGACTAAATCCACCCCTTCAAAGCCACCCCTTCAAAGCCAACACAATGGTGTTAGGGGCTGCAATGAAGGCAAGCCAAAGTGCCGCAATTAAGGCGACTAGAGGCGGACCGCAATTAAGGCGGAACTCCAACAATACGCTTCAGTTTAAAATATGAACCATGTGTTAATCGGTGATATAGATATAAATGGCAACATATATACATTTTAAAAGTATAAACTGACCAACCTTGTTAGCATTGGCACAGAGAAGTGTTGGGAGCCAACGACTTTCCCTTGTATCTGTCAATAAAAAAATTGCATCATGAGCATCAATCAAATCACACAAACGTCTGCAATCGCCAAGTATGCTCTCCTGTTCCTGGCGATTTACTGGGTGTCCAGGCATTGGTATAGCCATAACAATGCCTTCCGCTTCCTGAAAAAGAATTAAAAAAATTCAGTTACGGGGAAAATTTTATTATAGGGTTTAGCTTCAAGTGAAGTCTTAAGGATTGACGATCTACCACTGCTGGAAATATCCGTTTGAGACTTTCAACTGCTGCTGTAGCTTTAAACTCTCCGCCATTAAGACAGTTATCCAAAGTATAAAGAGACTGCCTCAATGGATTAGACATAGCCACCCTGCCATTGTCAACTAGAGTAATTTTTCGGACACCCCATGCCTGCAGCGAAAAATATAAGTTATGAAGAATTGAAATATTGAAACAACAAAAACAGGGTTTTCTCAATACTCACCATAAGCATGCGCGCAACCTGGCATCCAAGTGTGCCTGCTCCAAGGAGAAGACACTTGAGGGAAGACAAAGCACTCAAGTTTAAAGATGGTAAAGCACGCCACCTCATAAGCTTTAAATTCAAATCTGCAGCAGATACGGCCAACCTATAAAAACACATTCAAAACAATTATTTTCAAAATATTAGATATGCTGAAAAAATAAGTTGCATTACAAATTAAAATCTACACTGGAGAAAATAATTAAGACGGCGGACCTGGTTGGATCCATGGATTGTGCAAGACTAATACACCTAGGTACTTTTCTTCCCTTATTAAGTTCCCATCCAACTGCATTAGGCACAGCATCTTTCCACCCTATATAGTTAGTCTTTTCACATTAGAAACCCAACAAAATAAATATGAAGAGATATCTATCAACAAAATAACTGTCGCATAATTAACGCATATCTACCTTGTGAAACTGATAATAATGCTTCACCAACAAGGGACAAGCTCATATCAGCAAAACCACGGTTCTCTCGGTAGCATAGAAATTGAACAGACTTGAGATTCCACCTTGCAGAAATAAGTGCTAAGAGGTTGCGCAGGGGCCATCCAGGATTATTTGGGAGATGACACGGGTCATAAAACCCAAATAGGATCTGCCAATAGAATCCAGTAAAATTTCACAAAGATGTCTATAGTTCCGTGTCCAGTGAGTTCTATGTATGACTATGAAAAAACAACTTAACAAAAATTGCAATTAACTATTATAAAGAGTTTGAAAAAAGGGACCTTGTGAGCATCCATTCCTTCAGAAGCCTAACAGTAGCACGTGAGTTTGGATCTATAGTTACTAAAAAGAATGGGACGTCTGCCACATATTCTCGACTATTAGGCAAAATATGCCGAATTAAGAGGAAGCAACAAAAGCGATAAATGAGATTACTTCCACATGTTTGAGGAAGAAATCAAGAGGTTTATACCTGCTGTTGATTTCGAACCACGCCACTCGTTACAAGCTGCAGAGAGGGACTCTGCCTGTCATCATTTATTTAAGAATAAAGCCATGTCAACGTCCATGAAAATAATGACCATACCAACAAAAACCGAATGCTTAAAATAATGCAACTAAGAGCACCTCTTCCTTGCTCAACCACTGAGAAGCAGGACTTAAATTAACCACAGTAGCAGGAGGATCAATCATCAGAGCAGGGAAAGCAAACCAATAATGAAAACTCCATTTTTTCAGGTCTGCAAATGAAATAAGAAGAAATCTTGAAAGTACTGAACAGTCCTCCAGAGCTCTTCCAGTTTGAATGTCACCCCATATCTAATTTAACAACAAACCATAAAGTCATAATGTAATCGTATTCAATTACCTCATCTTGTAATAATGTCTACACAAACAAAACAGTTTACCTTTTGGGCCTCTTCCTTTAACAGATTATGTTTATCAAGTGCATGGAAACTCTCCACGGTATTAGTGTTGTAAAGTGTCCCTGAAACAGAACACCTGTTCCTGTTTCCGTGGCTTGGTTCTGGTATTGATGATGCTTCACTTGATTCAGAAGGTAAAGACTCAGCTAAAAGAGTTAGATAATTCGATACTCGAGGGTGTGAGCAAGGTGCGTAGAAACCTGTAATCAAATCACAGCACTATGAAATGAATTTAGTGTAGAAACGTGTAATCAAATACAGCGCTATGAAAAACGCCATCAAGGTGATGCTTTGAAGCTTATTTTGGTATACCTTACAATAATCACATCATAAGCACTTATAGGGATTAAAAACATAATTAATACTATAACAACATATTTAACCGTATAAAAAAAATTAAAACAGAACTTATTTAGTACTTATAGAATTTCCATTTTTTAAAGGGAATAAAAACATATTTGAGAGGGCTTATGAAAATAGCTTATAACATAAGTATAAGTTGTTTTTAGTTTATTTCCATAAACTCGCTAAGATAACTCGTGAAAACATGTTATAGCTTATATGAAAACAATTTGAAGAATCCAAATTGGGAATAAAACCCAACCAAAAATAGCTTTCGTTTCAAAAAAAAAAAAAACCAATATGAATTTATTTTGTCTTTTATTAAAGAAATAACCGGTATATATATATAAGCAGTTATATGATTATCACTTATGTTATAAGCGCTTAATTAAATTGTTAATCCAAACAGAACATCAGTCCCTAAAAGGTTTAAATTCTTTCCTAAACTGATTCAGAAGAAGTTAAAGATTAAGTATCAAAAGCATTTCTTTTACATAATTGTTGACTCAAACTTAGTAAGCTTAGTAAAAGAATGAAAAAGAAAAAAGGAAAGGGAAAAACCAATAATGGGTATTGGAGAATCATCAATGCCAAGTTTGTTGAGCTTCAAAGATGACAATCTATGCCAGAATCCTTCATCGACGGAGCTCTGCATCGGCGCGAATTGAAGCAGAGGCTTCTTCGTATCGGGTTCCACCATGGTTGTTTCTTTACGGTGGTGGATCTAATGTTGCGTTCAAATTCAATAAGGTTCGAACGGATTTGGATTTTCAGTGAAATTGATATTTCGATCGTTTATGTTCAGTCAATGACGTTTGTTTTTGGTGTTCATAGCGTGAAAGGAACTTTTGTTTATTGGGCCATACGGGCTTATTTCACCTGGGCTTAAAAATTCAGTTCTAAGAATTTTAGAAGGATTCTACCTGCCACCCCGTACTTGTATCTCGGATATGAAATTTCATATTATTCCTTTTCAAAATTTTAGAAAATATAAAATTTTCAGAAGGAAACCGATAATTTAACCAATATATCAAAAATTCGCTAAAATTATAGTGGATAGACTTGCATTTAACACAATATCGAAAATTTTAGAATTTCTGAAAATTAATACCGGAAATGTTGAAATTTCTAATATGTGGTATACCGGACATATTATACTTCCGTATACAGGAGAAATATTCCGAAAATTTTAAATTTTTGGTATTAGTCTTGAATTTTAAGAAAACACATAATTTCAAATATTTTACCCACATCGCCCTGCATAAATGGTTTCAGATATAATGAATACATAATATCCACAAGATAGAAAATTAAGATGACTTCCTAAGTTCTTCCTCTCAGTGCCTAATCCATTCTGCATATGCCGATTTCCATGCTTTTGCTTCTTCAATACAGTTCTGTCTCCAACGGTCAGTGACAGGAGGCAATGGACTATCAAGTTTTAATTTGACCTGGACCCAATGATTGTCGTTGACAAAACCAACAACAATAAGTTTATGTCTGCTTGTATACATAGATGGTGAAGGTGAGAAAATCACACAAGAAGGGAAGGTTGAATTGCGTTTTCCATTTTTGTTCTTTGCATCTTATCAGAGTTTAGAATTTAAACTGGTGTTCAGATTCTGGTTAATTCTTAGCAGCGGAATGTTAACAGAAGCAAATAAATAATAGCAGAAGACACAAAGATTTATACAGGTTATACCCCTAACTAAGAGTAGTCCAGTCCCCTTGCTTCATAATAGATTTTCATTATAATCAAATCATGATTACAGTTGTTTATGCATTCTGCATAAGACTTTACAATTGCTCAGACTCAAGGTCCAAGGTTGTTGCTTAAACTCCTCACTCGAGAATTCCTGCTCAGATTTCAAGAACCCAAGACTTCCTTGCTCAAGCCCTCAGCCCTAGACTTCTTCTCCAAGTCCCATGAAACAGCCTCTCTGCTTGCACCCTTTAGGTCAAGACTTACTGCTCCAATCAAGGTCGTCAAACTCGCGAGTCTACTCAGAATCGTAAAGGGTCCATAGACTCGACTTGCAGACTCGACTCGCAAACTCGTACAAGTCTATGGAAAATAAAAAATGACTTTTAAAAACCTGTAAGTGAAATATACATGACACGCACATATATTTTTTAACTTGTAAATGCCACATACATGACACACACATAAATTTTTTGTATGTAGTTAAATACTTAAAGTACTAATTTCTTCTTAATTAGCTACTACGCAAAAATATCATAACAGTAAGTGTTTCTTCAAATATTTTCATAAAAACTCAAAATTTAGACTCTAAAACTCAAATTCTCTTTGAAAAATCTTAACAGTAAGTGTTTTTTAACGATATGTTTCAAATTATTCTTAAGCACAATTCAAGTTGTAACGGCTACAATGTGCAGCAACCACAACGATTACAATCGCAATATTCACAACTGCAATTTAAAACTATGCCTCTTCTCAAACTATTCTAGCCTTATGTTAAAACTGATTCTAAATAGATGTGCTTTAATGTCTGTATCATCAAGGTCATCCGCTGACCCTAGCGTTTTACAACACTTGGTACGCATGTTTCTTATAATTATTATCATTAATAGTTAATTAATTAGTAAAAGTTATAGCAAATTTTCATTATTCTAAAACCGTGAGCAAAGCATTTTGTCATAACTCGTAAATCACAATTCTATAAAAAAATGTAGCAATATATTATTTCAAAACAGAAAAAAAAATGTTTTTGCCACAAATTATAAATTTTCTAAACCATTTTGTCACGTCAAATTGACAGACGGAGATTGAAATCAATGGACTTGATTGAACAATGGTGCATCACCTTTACAAATGAGAACATACAAGAGAGACATTCAAGTGAAACATACAAGAAAATAATTACACAACAAAGGATTGATCCACAACAACAAACACGAACAAAGTAAGAGAGATAATAAACACACGTCGTGGATGAAGGGAAGAAACTTTTACCGAAACAAGAGACTATGAGAGAGAGACTTTATAATTTTCGTACAAGGAAAAATAAATAATTTTTTTTAAAAAAATAATGGTTTAATTTTTTAAAAAAAATAAAATAAAATAATTTCTTTTGGGTAATTTTGGCCTTTTTGGTTAAAAAAACAAAATTCAAAAAAACTTATAGACTCGTAAACTTGCCATAGACTCACGAGTCTATACGAGTTTGTGCGAGTCTATCAGAATCTTCCCAAGTCTATCAAAAAATGATTATATGAACGAGTTTACTCATTTATGCTTCTAAGACTCGTAAACTCATACGAGTTTGCGAGTCTACCCGCGAGTTTGACAACCATGGCTCGAATTTCCATGTACTGAGCATTCCTGCTCAAGCCCCTCATACCCAAGACTTCTACTCAAGGTTCCATGAAATGAGCCTCCGCTTGCACCTTCCCTGACCAAGACTTACTACTCCAAATTTCATGAACCGGGCTATCCTGCTCAAGCCACACTGGCTCAAGACTTTCCTGCTCAATCAATCTACTTGATTAATACTTTCACTGCTCAAGCACATAGCAAGAGACTTACGTGGCTCAAGTAACTTGGCTTGAGACTTCCTTGCTTGTATTAATGATACAAAACTTCTGCTCAATCAATCCACTTGATTAATACTTTCATAGCTCAAGCACATAGCAAGAGACTTACGTGGCTCAAGCATCTTAGCTCGAGAACTCCTTGCTTGTATCTCAATGACACAATACTTTTATCTAAACTGCTAAATAAGCTCAGCAGAATAGAGAACAAGGTGTACATGATACAAGTATCATAGGTATGAGAAATCAATATAACAAATACCTAAAGCTCTTAAGATATCTAATACATACAATGTGTAAGAAATCTTAAGGCTTTTATAATTACAACCTACATCAGAAAAATCTGCATATACATTGAGTTGATAATTGCTGATCTTGTTACTCCTTCTTCTGGTGATCCTTGTTAAAGATTCTGTTTGAACCTTCAGTCATATTTATAGCCTTTTGATAAACTAGTCGTTGAAGAGGTAACTTGATCAAGAGTGTTTGTTATTACTCCATAGTACAAGAGTCGTTGAAGATAGATACACCAGAAGATCTTAATCCAATGTGTAACATGTTTAACCTTTAAGTCTTCAAGAAATTTTGTACTATTAGAGTCGTTGAGAGTAGATATACATAAAGCATCTCAGCTTTTCTTGAGCCTTACAATCTTGTAGGCATTAGTTGACAAACTGATTTGACAATACAACTTGCTTTCTGCGGTACGAACAACGTCAGCTTTACTACCAACTCTGAATGGTACCATAAGCCAATTTATATTCACTAATTGTAGAGACAATAATGTTGCTTCTTCTGATGCTGAGACCTTCAGCTTCAGAGTCTTCGTCAGACATCACTTAGAAAGTGTTCTTCAGATTCTGCCACTAGAAGCTAGCAATGTAGCAGCTCTCAAAGTGTGCTTAATATAAAACACATTCTGATAATAATATTTACAAGTATAAGAACCTGCACACATGTAACACACATCAAATAAACCATTGTTCTTTCAATACTTTGTCATCGTCAAAACCCAAGGAAAATATGTCATGAACAAATCTTGTTCTAACAATCTCTCCCTTTTTGATGATGACAAACACAAGTATTTAAAAGACAATGTTGGGCAGTTATAATTTTCTTTACAACATCAGGGTATGAGGTTTGTAAGCTTTCCATGAGTCTAATAGACCAAAGTAAAGTTCTGTAGACATCATACTAGGAACTTTTGTTTATTGGGCATTTCATAAGGTTCGAAAGGATCTAATGTTGTGTTCAAATTCAATAAGGTTCGGACAGATTTGGATTTTCAGTGAAATTGATATTTCGATCGTTTATGTTCATTCAATGGCGTTTGTTTTGGTGTTCATAGGGTGAAAGGAACTTTTGTTTATTGGGTCGTTCATAGTGTGAAAGGAACTTTTGTTTATTGGGCCATACGGGCTTATTTCGCTTGGGCTTAAAAAGTCAGTTCTAAGAATTTTACGAGAATTCTAGCAGCCATCCCCACTAGTATCTGATACCCTCTACTTATAGCGAAATTTCATATTAGCCCGTTCTAAAATTCTCGAAAATATAAAATTTTCAGATGGAAACCAAAAATTTCACCAATATACCAGAAATTTCGCTAAAATTATCGTGGATAGACTTGTATTTGACACACAAACCGAAAATTTCAGAATTTGCAAAAATTAATACCGGAAATTTTGAAATTTATGGTATTTGGTATACCAAATATATTATACTTCCATAAACAGGAGAAATATTCCGGAAATTTTAAATTTTCGGTATTAGTCTAGAACTTCAAAAAACGCATAATTTCAATATTTTGCTCACATTGCCCTGCATAAATGGTTTCACATATAATGAGTACATAATATCCACAAGATTACATAGAAAATTAAGATGACTTCCTAAGTTCTTCCTTCCAGTGCCTAATCTGTCCTGCATATGCTGATTCCCATGCTTTTTCTTCTTCAAATATAGTTTTGTCTCCAACGGTCAATGACGGAAGACAATGGACTATCAAGTTTTAATTTGACTTGGACCCAATGATTGTCGTTGACAAAACCAAAAATAATAATTTTATGTCTGCTCGTATACATAGATGGTGAAGGTGAGAAAAGTACACAAGAAGGGGGGGTTAAATTGTGTTTTCTGTTTTCTTTGTTT